ATTAATATTAAAACTTTAACCTATTTGCAATGAGTTAAAATGAGAAGAAATAACTATGTTAGCTAAAAACATTCGAAGTAATTTATGTCTCTTTCTTTCTTATGACTGAATAAAGGAAAGCAAACACTTCCTACAAATATTCAATTCCTGAGAACCTAGCACCTTCGTATATGTTCCGAACAAACCTTGTTGCCGAACACATCATACAACCTGACGATTTGTATGAATTTGCAAATTTCAGCGTGCAAACATACACGAAAGATCACGAAGGTATTAGGCTTTCAGAAATTTCATTATAGTAGCACAATGATTTCCTTTCCATTAACTTTTAAAGATAGAAAGAGAAAGATATATCAAAAATGAATAATTTCACAACATATAAGTATATCGCTCTCACTCCCACTTATTGTATATAAGTGCCTTTACGAACTCGTTTTTAATTATTGAAGTTTCCCCTAAGTAAATCAATCACGTCGCACATTAATTTGCTTGTTCCATAAAATAAAAAGAGTATCTTCGTTAGATTACGACAATTTCGGTAAACCTATCAATTAAGGAAATATTTTTAATTAGTTGGTTATATGATTGATGTTCTATATATTTCAGATAAAGTCATTCAATTTAATGAAGAAGGAGAGAAAGAAAAGCATTTAAAATTAAAATTTAAGTCATTTTACAATAAGTTGGAGAGTGAAGAAATAGTTATTCTAGCTAAAACCTTTTCAACTGATTTATATAAGTAATCACTTTATATAAATATTCAATTTCTAAGAACCTAATGCCTTCGAATATGTTTCGAACATAATCTAGTGGGTGAGCATATCAAGCTTATTTACGTTTACTGAATGAATGAATGAATTTCTAAAGAAAGAGAAAATTACTTTTCCCACATATTTTTACTTGAAAATAAACACGCATATCGTATTAAAAATAAAAATAAAAAAATAAAAAAATAAAAAAATAAAAGCAAAAAAGAAAAGTATTAGGCTTTCAGGAATTTCATAATAATAGCAAAATACTTTGTTTTTCGTCAAGTTTTGAAGAAAGAGTTAGAGGTATATAAAAAAACCAATGTTTACTCAACATATATGTATATCTCTCTCACTCCGACTTACTGCAAATAGAATTAAGTTTCGTATTAGACTTATGCTCATTATGCTCATGATAAAATTTTCTGTACATATGTTATAAGTTATTAATATAATATATTGGAATATAATACCCTAGTTAGTATATACAGAGGTTCAAAGGTGAATCAAATAATGTACAGTAGATATCTGACGTCTTATGTATCTTTAAATGTTTTGTCTTTTCCGTCGCATATTGAATTGGTTAATAAAAAAGTATCTTCGATTTGGTAATAATTATATCAGTAAACCCTATGAAGATTTTTAATGGCTTTTATATAGTATATGATTATAAATGATATAGGAAGCAAAAAGTTAACACTCTTTATAGAATTCATGCATTAAATTTTCGATATGAACATTAAATTCAATACAGCTATGAGGAGAAGTATTTAAAATTAAAATCGATGAACAGTTTGACAAGCTGTCAAAATAGTACTTCCTTAAATATATGTTTCTACTGTAGATCAAAGCTAGGTATTCATAGAGAAAATGTTGAATTTTTTTTTTATAGTGAGTTTCCACAACTGCTACAGTGAGTATTAAAAGGAATGCATAGTTTCTCTGCGTGAATTCCTATATACCAGTGACCAGAGAGAGTTGCAGTAAGCCTTGTAGTATTCGTGCGGCCCCTTTAACCCATTAAGTGCCAAGCAATTTAAGGCTTGAAATTTTAAGGTGAAATTTCTATAGTAAATAGTAAAATGAAACAAGTTTTAATAAATGAAGAAAATTTAATATTTATTTGAAAGAATACTCTTAATTTCTTCTTCAAAACTTGTCGTGTGGTGCAGCACACGGTAGTCCGATATGGGTTAAAACAGTTGCCAAAATCTGGTCTTATAATATGAGCGCCTTGTCAACCGGGAAGTCATACCTCACCTGTACCTTGTATTTTTTATTGACAAGCTCAATAAAGCAGAGATAAGTAACCAGTTCATAACAATCATCGAGAGAGCAAAAGTGGTTACCTCTAAGGATACGCCTAGGGAAGCATCAAGACATGTTAGACTTTCTGCTTTTAAATTCAGGAATGAAGCGGAAGAGTAACTACCTAGCAATATATGAAAGAAATCTTGTGATTCATTTCCAGAACATAAGTATTTATTGTACTTGACCAGTTAATCTGTTAGTGTTGCCAACATTGAACTTCTTAATAGAGAGGGTGGTTGGGTGGCCAGAATTGAACTAAGCGCTTAATCTGTTCATGCAAGGTTTTAAGTTAGTTAAATCTACATCCGTTTTTTATTCTCAGGTATTTAAACTTATCAATAATATATTGTTCTTTTCTTGTTTTGGTTTTTGTTTATATATTTTTTTGCGATTTTTTTTAGTATTGTATGACTCAACTCAGCAAGCTTGTGTCTTTCCCACACTGAGTTCGTACTTCATTCTGTCGTTTTTTGTTAAAATATTAATTCAAGTAACATTTTTGTCGCAGATAAAATATTAAAACAATAAACCTAATTGACAAATACTAAAAATATGCAAATTCCTGTGAAGTGTGCATTACTAATGATGCGGCATTCTTAATTAACTGAAATTTTATGAAAACCTATTAACGACTACACCGACTACACCGACTACAAAGACAGCGAAATCACATATCTGCGTTCGCCTTTGTTAATTGGTGAATTAAAATCCAATAAATCAAATGAAATTTCAATAATGAACACTCAAGCAGATAAATTCTTTGAATTCACACAATCGCATACACGAGCACACAGCATCACAGTATCACAGCATCACAGCATCACAAATAATCGTGTAATATGACATGGTCGTGGAATTAATTTCCACATGAACATTACCCATTTCACATATCGATTACTCTCTTCATGTAATCAACAAGTTATTAATGACAAGGGAATAAAACCAAGTGACTCAGTTTGTTTGAATTAATACAACAACAACAGCAACAATTTTACAACAACAACAATATATACAATCAAATAAACAAACAACAGTGACTGTTTTTATTACTGGCAGGTTAAACATTATGAATCAGGTTTGATGAGACTTAATGCCTTCGAGGGCGCTTAACGTAATTTAAGGCAATTCAATCAATAAAATAAATAAAAATTAAACGGGAAATACGGGTAAAATGTGTTAACTACGTTTGTCAAAATTTTTTGGAAGGTGTAACTCTGAAGGATTTATATGGTTGCATTGATAAAATCAAACCCACGTTTAGTTAATAACACAGGGTCTTCATTTGGTTGAGACTTAAAAAGATAATAATTAATCTGTCAAACAACACAAACTTTTTATGAAATAATGTTGGATAAATCATCATACTAAGACGTACATCCAAGCAGCGTTATTATTAAAGAATATATATCTAAAATCCATGTTGAATCAAAAATGTATATAAAGAACTTCAACATCAGACGGAAATCAATAACTTCAGTATTCTAGTAATAGTATGTTATTCTACTTTATTTATTTCTAGTATTAAAGTTTAACAATCAAAAATATAAATTTAATTAATTAATTCAGTTATTCCAAAGCTGTTAATAAACTTTTATAGCAAATTAACAAAACTCCAGGCCAAGTCAGAAGTCAAGTTCAAGTCAGAACTGACTCTGAGCTTCAAATTTGGCAGAGTACGAATTCAACCCTGGGTACTTTCAGTCTCAAAAAAAATTATTTATCAATAATTAAATACAACAATTATTTCCAAGATCACTGATAATGGGTGTTTGACAATACTCGAAACAGCTGACCATACAGCCCAAAATTCAACTAATTAAAATAATTTAAAAAAAAATTTTGCTGCTGTAGTTCACTACTGTTCGAAACCTCTCTCTCAATAACTTTCTTAATAAAAAATTTGGTGAAAAGAAACTTTAGAGCTCAATCCGTTAACTACCCGTGCTCTCTGAAATATACACTGTTTTTTGCTAGTATGATCGAATGCTACTTATTTAAAAATAAAGCAACTTGGAATATCGTCATCAATGGTACCCAGAATAAACGCATTAACCATGAAAATTTGATAGCCCAATTGAGCATTATTTATTTCAATAAGTAAAAAGTCGGAATGTCACCTTCAATGACACCCCCAGCGAAAGTATTAACAATAGTGGATTAATGACATCTTCAGATATCACCACTCAATTACAAGTTTTTAAATTATAATTTGTAATTGTAATTGTAATAATTTGTAATTGATTGTAATTAATTTGCTTTTTATGTTAGTAAATCAAAAAAAAAAAACAATAAGGATATGGTATGATTAAGTATCATTATGCGTTCGAATGCATCAATACTGTAATTCTGTGTCCACAAATGGATGCGAGTAAAAATGCTTTAGACACTTGCTCGTGTTTCATCAAGCAAAAATAAATAAGAAAGTATATTCCTAATTGAAATTACATGGATAAAAACGTTTGATCAGTTGATTTATTTGAAAACTGAAAACTCCTGTTAATGGTATTTAGAACAAAGTCACTAATAATGGATTGTTAACATAGCGGAATCGCACTTATCTAAAAATACAGAAATTCTAAGCGCCATCTACATGAAGTATCCAATAAAACAGTTCACAATAATGGTCTATTGATATAATCGGATGCCACCGGAATTTCATCTCTATTAGGCTATATATAAAATTTATATATATTTATATAACAATATATAATTTAAAACTATTTTACATAAATGCAATTGAAATAAAGTTTTATTTAGTTTAGTTAACCAAGGAGGCACTTATATTTTAAAAAATATACGAACTTCATATAATATATATCTTGAATAAATCAAACATAGAAACAAAAATCCGTAAAAGTTGTAATTGTTTTCGCATACAAACGAAACCAACTATTTGATATATATTATTGATGATCAAAGCGCTTCATATACAACCTTCAAATGGATCAATATATCCCTATAAAATGTGCTGGTCCTACCCGCAGCACGACAACTGTAACTACATCAATTGCGGGTGATGAAGGAGGTGCTGTCAATACTACTACAGCCGCAATCCATACACCGGTTCTAGCTACTGGAATAACTGCTGCTGGAGATAGTGCGGCTGCTGGTGTGGCTGCTGGTGTGGCTGCTGGTGTGGCTGCTGGTGTGGCTGCTGGTGCGGCTGCTGGTGCGGCTGCTGGTGTGGCTGCTGGTATGGCTGCTGGTGCGGCAGCTGGCGCGGCTGCTGGTGCGGCAGCTGGTGCAGCAGCTGGTGCAGCAGCTGGCGCGGCTGCTGGTGCGGCTGCTGGTGCTGCTGCTGGTGCAACAGCTGGTGCAGCTGTTGGTGCGACAGCTGGTGCGACAGCTGGTGCAGCTGTTGGTGCGACAGCTGTTGCAGCTGTTGGTGCAGGTGTTGGTGAAGGTGATGAGGGTAAGAACGGTGGCAAACACAAAGGTAAAAACAAGGAAGAAGGAGAAGCGAAACCTTTAAATCATAGTTCTAGTTTCTAATAATATATTTCTTTTTACGTATATAAACGATCTTCTACAAAAGAGGGTACTTTGCTAACTTCTTTTGCATTTTTGATGTTATCAAACTATATCTTCAAGTTTAATTTTGATTTTTTTTATAAGAGCACTTTAATTTTTTATAAATTTTCTATTGATACATAAATTTTCAAAAATTCAGTAAATTGGGTAATTACTACTTAAACTCATACATTTTTATAGGAGATTAATAAGGCAAAATAATAAGTCTGGTTGTCAGCAAATAAATCTATATTTTAACTATGGACAACGTTCTATACTTCATTTCAACTGCGCTGTGATTTCTACTTCATCTGTTTTAACATGCTTATCTTCCATACCGAGAAGATATTCATCGGTATATTTGATAAGCATCGGTATATTTTATAGTTATGCAGTTAAAGATCTCGGTATGGGACATTCTGCAGTTGAAGATCTAAACTAAAATTAATAATATTGATACAATTAGGAACTCTCTTCTTCGTAAATCGATGAAGATACTATATGGTTCAAAACCATTCAGATATTTTTTACACAGAAGTTGACCCTATCAAAAATTCGAGGTTAATTCAAAAAATGTTGCGTTCTAAAAAGTTGCTGTTCCTTTGAACTACACAGGAGTTTTATCATAAAATATATTGGAAACAATGTCAGTATTTACTAACAAGTGAATATTTTTATGTTCTTGTTTGTCTAATTCTTATCGACTTTCACTTTTAGTTCCTTAGTTATTTGTTTTATTATATTTCTGAAGCATATAAGTGCTATACGACCTATAATTCCTAATATTTTTATTTTGATCATTTAGATTGATTTAGAGTTACACATTAGTTTTCTATCAACTAATAAGAAAGATAGCTGAACAATATTCATAGATAACCATCACAGTATTAATAACCCGAGTGCAAACAAAAAGTGGAAAAAGCGTAACCGTATTCTTGGATATCAAATACTCTTGAAAGTAATAAAGTAATTCATAATAATTAAGGAGGTTCATTCAAATGAGAAAATGTTACGTTTCAAATTGATATTCATTATTCTTAGTATGTGTTACATTTTTGATTGGTCAAAAAGTACTTGGCGCCATTTGGTCTTGAAGTGCAGTGGAGAGTCCAGGGTGGGGAAAATTACATGAAAATCATTGAAATCGTTCGATCCCGTGGATGTTAACTAACTGTTTCAGACTTGCACTTTCATAAAACAAATACAATATTTATTTATGTTGGGCTTCTAGAAGTTAATCTGTCAAACTACTGATAATATAGTTCGATCAATGCATTACCTAGGTAGTTCCGGAAAACGAAACACTATAGTAATAGTCAGTACTTCAGAACTGCTGTGTCTTTTAAAGTAAATGCAATATGTTTGCCATCAGAAAGATATACTGGACTTCAATCCACACTTTTTTAAAATTACGTGAATAACTCATTAACGTAATTCAATGGATCACTGGTTACAGTGGATCACTTAAGTGATTAGAGACACTATTGAGTAAAAATGCTCTAGACTCTTGCTCGCGTTTCATCAAGTAAAAATAAAGAAGAAAGTATATTCCTAATTGAAATTACATGGATATATTTAAAAAAAAGTTTGATCAATTGATTTATATGAAAATGTAGAAAACTGGAAACTCCTGTTAATGGTATTTAGAACAAAGTCGCTAATAATGAATTGTTATCATAACGGAATCGCACTTATTTAAGCATACAGAAATTCTAAGAGCCATCTGAATAAAGTACACAATAAAACCGTAAACAATAATGGTCTATTGATGTAATCGGATGCCACCGGAATTTTATCTCTATTAGGCTATATATAAAATTTATATAATTTTAGACATATATAATTTTAGACATATATTTATATAACTATATATAATATTAAACTATTTTACATAAGTACAATTGAAATAAAGTTTTATTTAGTTTATTTAACTAAGGAGGCAAACTTCATGTAATATATATATTGAATAAATCAAATATAAAAACAAAAATCCGTAAAAGTTGTAATTGTTTTCGCATACAAACGAAATCAAATATTTAATATATATTTTCGATGATCAAAGCGTTTTATATAAAAGCTTGAAATGGATCAAGAAGCCCCTGGAACTTCTGCTACTCCTGCCGGTACCACAACAACTACCATCGCTGTTGTAAATACTGCAGGTGGTGTTCCCACTACTGCAACCACTGCTACTGCTGCAACCGGCACACCTGCTCCAGCTACTGGAGAAGCAGCAGCTGGAGATGGTGCGGCTGCTGGTGCGGCAGCTGGTGCAGCTGCTGGTGAAGGTGGTGAGGCTAAGGAAGGTGAGGAACAAAAAGATAAAGACAAGGAAGAAGGAGAAGAAGGTGAAGCTAAACCTTTAACTCGTCGAGGTCGGTTTTTAGTTCACATAAGAAATTTTAACTTAATAATATAATAGCAATTTTTGTATAGAACGTTTCCGGAATATCCAGGCTAAGAAAAGTAAGTTCGAAAAGTTAATGGTAGAGTAAGAGTTACATTTTATATAATTTCATTTAGCAAAAGATTATAATATTTCTAAACTATTATAATACTAAACTCAATCACCTCCAAGTCTTCTCCAAATTAACATTGATGCGCTAAAGATTACTTGATTTGTCAATTGAAGGCGCCTCACGGAAATGTTTTTAAGGATAAAAAAAAAGTTTTGAAGTAGAATATATTCGAGAATTAAATCAAATCTTGCCTAAAATTTTAGTTTGTTCAAGTTTTTATTAAAATACATATTTTTACGTATATTAACGATTTTCCACTGAAGAGATTAATTCTTTTCATTAGTGATGAGCAAAACTAGTTATGAAAAAAATAAAATCATTTTTTTGCTATCTTATTTTGCATTTTTGATGTTATCAAACTACATCTTTAAGTTTTTTTTAATCTTTTCTACAAGAGCACTTCATTTTCTTATGAATTTCCTTTTTAGAAAATTAACAAACTTCACTTTAATCGCGTAGCCGTTTCCACCTCATCTGCATCAAATTGCTACCTTTTGCAGGTAGAGATCAGAACTAAAAATACCGGAATATCTTGATTAGAATATTTTGTAGTTTTGCACTTAAAGATCACGATTATATATAACAAAGTATTGATTTGATTAGAACGCTGTTCTTCGAAAATCGATTAAGATTCTACGTGGTTCACATTCATTCAATCATTTTTCGCACAAAAGCTGACCCTAACATAAATTCAAGATTAATTCGAAAAATGTGGCGTTCTTAAAAGTTGCTGTTCCATTGAATTACACAGAAGTTTTATCATAAAATATATTGGAAACCATGTAGTCATTTCTTCTTTTATTACTTTGTATTACCCATTCTAAATATGTAGACCTTTGAAATTATTTCGGTATGATTTATTTTTTTAGTTGTGTTATGTGCCTGAAGTATATATGACACATAACCTATAATTTTTTATATTTTTTTTTTTTTTACTATGATGGGTAAGTTCTTCATGCAAGAAACGAATAAAATTATATGGGAATAGTATGTAAAATATTCAATACCAATCAAAATAGAGGCTATCAAAGAAAAATATATCCTAAGAGAACAAGGGATTAGCCTACAAAGGTTGATTACTTGCAGAATTAGTCGAAATACAGAGTATCGTTAAACAAAAGAATTGTGATACTCCAGTTAAAATTATAAAGCTTTTACTTAGCTTGTTATCTAATTGGTGAAAGTACAAAACCACTTTTCATCTATAAAGAAAATTAAATTAGGTATCCCACTATGTTCTCTATTGCCTTTTTTATTGTGTAAATTATACACAGTAGACTTAGTTTTAGGACTTATAAGCTAATTTCCGCTATTTGCTGACGATAGCTGCATTAAGCATAAGATGAAAAGATACTACCAAAGGTGGGAAATTAAAGTAAACTCTAAAAAACAAAAGTTATTTTCATTTCAAGACGTACGAATTATAACTGAAAAAAGATAAAGGTCAATATTGTGAAAATAGAATAGGGAAATAAAATAAAATAAAATACTAAGGTTTTCATTTTACTCTTGTCTAAAAAATATAAAGTCAGAAAACTGAGTCCAAAAACATCGAGAGTATAATTCTAGATGCTCAGAATCCATTAATACAAAAAGAGTGGAGTGCAAAAAAAAAACTATGCTTTATTAGCTAATAATGAGACGTTAACTGTACTGTATGATTGTATGTCCTATAACAATGCTGCTACATCCATCATCAAAAAATTCTTAAAATTATTAAAATATTGTATCGAGAAGTATGCAAATTCCTTATGGTTTATTAGAAATGAAAATAAACACCAGAAGACTTCAGAGTCCAGGGTGTGGAAAATTACATGAAAGTCATTGAAATCGTTCGATCTTATGGATGTTAACTAACTATTTCAGACTTGCACTTTCATAAAACAAATACAATATTTATTTATGTTGGGCTTCTAGAAGTTAAATTGTGAAACTACTGATAATATAGTTCGATCAACGTATTACCTAGGTAGTTCCGGAAAACGAAACACTATAGTAATAGTCAGTACTTCAGAACTGCTGTGTCTTTTAAATTAAATGCAATATGTTTGCCATCAGAAAGATATACTGGACTTCAAAACACACTTTTTTAAAATTACGTGAATAACTCATTAACGTAATTCAATGGATCACTGCTTACAGTGGAGCACCCATGTGGTCAGCGACACTATTGAGTACAAGTGCTTTACACACTAACTGGCATTTCATTAAGCAAATAATCAGAAGAGTATCAAAGAGAAATATATCCAAAAACAGAAGAACACATCACTTTCCGCAGTTGCATTTCTTTAGAACAAAATATCCTATATATGGTACACTATTACAATTGAAACCAAAAAACACTAAAGGTAAATGCTATAATATTATAAAAATGAAATAATTGAAAGAGCATAAAAAATATACAAATAATATGTATTTTATCGTAAAATATGTGTGTAAAAAAAAAAAAATAATTGCAATGATTGGTTAATATTACATATAACATGATAAATAAATTTTAGTAAATTTAAGTCAAATGAATAGCATTATAGTATAATAATATCCTCACCACAAAACAAATATGGGGTGTGGTGAGGGTTCGTCTCCCATATATAATACTTGCACAATAGCTTATTATTTCATAATGATAATCCGTTTAATTAAGTGATATGTCTTTATCAAAGACATTTTATCTATGTGAGATAATTAATTGCATAAAATAATAAATGCATAATTAAATGAAAGAAGCATCAATGGAAACGACAAATCATTGCAATTGCACTTAAATGGAAGACTGCACTTCATTTTATAAAATAAAACTTCATAATCACTTTTTCTCAAGCGACAATGATGACAAGCGACAATACCATTAAATGAGTAATAATTTCACTAATTGCAATTTTGCATCGAGTATTGATGCAACACCTTTTCAACTACTATGGTATGTTGTCGCTTGTTCCGACGGGTTGAGTTTCCCAAGACACATATCGATATCTACGTCGATATCGCTACCGATATCGGTAGCAGCGTAATTCGTCTGTGTAATTAAAATTAGTGTTCAAATAAGCAATTCATCTAAACATAAACCTCAAAAGTGATAGGTATGAGTTGTTGGGCGAAACATAGTATGCTTTCCAGGTGCGGATGTATGTGCAGCATTTGAAATTTTAATGAATTAAAATATCAATTTTGGTGTAACACCAAAACTGACAGCCGCTTAACAGCTCCACATATGGTGGTACTATATGCGTATGCGCTTCAATGCCGATGCGTCAATACGTGTGCAAAAGTGGCGGCCACGACCAACTATTATTAGTGACAAAACATAAGCCTGACGTTGGTTACAGTCGATAACTGACAGTCGACGAAAGTGTCAACCAACACAACAGAAGCTACGAACATTTTAACAAATTATGAATTAATTGTCACCGCGGTTAATAAAATCAATCAAAGTGTTAATTTAAATTCAAAATGCTACTGTGAACTATGAGCTAGACGACGCTGTCGATGACGGTGTGTATGACGGTGTATATGTACGGTATGAACGGTATGAACGATATGTACGGTATGAACGGTATGAACGGCATGAACGATATGAACGATATGAACGGTATGAACGGTTTGAACGGCATGAACGCTTTTGTTAAAGTTGACAGAGCACAGTAGACCGCAAGGCATTACACAGCACAACACAAATCACAGCTCAATACGTCATAACTTTGAGCTTTTGTTTATGTTGACTGTAGAGCGCAGCATGTCGACCAGGCAGGCTGTATGAGGTATACGGTGTATGCTATACGGTCTGGCAAGCGTTCGCCCGTGGCGCAATGATTTAAATGTAATTAATCAAATTTTAGTTGCTGTTACTGTTACTGTTGTTCATAGGTGAATTTCCAATGATTTTAAACATTTGACAGTTGATTTATTAATTTATTTAATTTTAAATTACAATTAACAACTTTAATGACACGAACATGAAAGCAATTCGTTGTAGTGAACAGAAATGAAAATGTATGAGTAACGAGCTGGAAATTTTAAATGAGGTTTTATTGTAATGGGAAAGACTAAATGAGAAAATATTATTGCTAATTATTAGGAACGTTATTTATAGAAACTGTGAAAATAAACACTATAATGAGCAAATTAAAATATTTTGCTATTAAGTTCCTTTACGCTGTAAATAATACTTCATCAAATTTGATTGAGGATTGATTCCCATTTGGTTTCGTCTTCAATAGAAATTAAATCATATTATTCTTACTTTTCACAACAGCCGTTTATCTTATCAAAATGATATTTGTCGCATGGTTGATGGCAGCAGAGTGTACCCAAATCATCTAAGATTTTCCATTGCTATGGTATAAGATCATAAATTGCTTTACTTATGTGCTCGGCTTAATTTAGACTATAAATTAATTTTGTAGTTGCAATATCTACTATATTGTCCTGAATATGACAATGTATAGATATACTCGAATTCCCTTTTGATTTACTTATCCTGGTATGCATTATATTTAGGACTTGTAATAACAATATCTATTTTTTAAAATAAGTTTCTTGAAGTTTTTAACTTCAAATTCCGTTCTAATTACTGGACTTAGTAATACTTAGTCTTAGAACTTATATTCTAGTTACGATATCCATTTTCTAAAAAAAGGATCTATAGATTTATTGCATTGACAACTTCAAATTCCGTTTTAATTACTGGACTCAGTAATACTTAGTCTTAGGACTTGTATTCTAGTTATGATATCCATTTTCTAAAATAAGGATCTAAAGATTTATTGCATTGACAACTTCAAATTCCGTTTTAATTACTGGACTCAGTAATACTTAGTCTTAGGACTTGTATTGTAGTAACGATACCCGTTTTCTAAAATAAAGATCTAAAGATTTATTGTATTGGCAACTCCAAATTCTGTTTTAATTTACTGTATTTCGCGAACCTTGCGTTTTTATTTGTATTGTAGTTATAATATCCTCACTTTTAAAAAAAACGTTTTAAGTCATTATTTTTACACACCTCCCCACTCCATTCTTATTCACTGAATCCACAAATCTTTGGGCTCTGTATTATAATGTAGTAGCAATACCCGTTTTCTTAAAATAGCTTTTAAAAACGATGTATTATAGTTGTTTCCAAATTCCGTTTTTTTTAAGTAAACCCGATAAGACAATGTCATAGAATTTTTATTGTAATAACAATATTAATTTTTTAGAGTAAGTTTCTTCAATTTCATTGTATTGGCAACTCCGAATTTAAATTGTATTGTAGTTAACATACAATATCCATATTGTTGAATGAACTTGTCTAATCATCATTTTTAGGTTCAGACTTAAACTTAGACAATTTTATAATTACAATATACACTTTTTTAGAAAGGTTTTTAATACCTCATTCTAAAGGCAACTTCAAATATCGTTTTTATACATTTTTTTCATTTTTCTTTGTATTCCTACTTCAAGTCATATCTCTAAGAATTCAGTTCTCATCGACAAACCTCAGATTAAAATTTGGTAAAGTTCAAATTTTTTTCATCTATCTAGAATTCGATTATTCAGGTGCTTAAATGTATCGTTATATACTTCATTTGCGTAAATTCGCCTAACTAGAATTTATCTTGCTAACGTTATTGGCTCAACTTCGCCTAACTAGAATTTATCTTGCTAACATTATTGGCTCAACTTATGCCACATTCGATCGCATATATGTAAAGTGTTTTGCAATGGTAAAGCTTTATTCTTCGATTCTAGTGGTTATAATATTACTGTTTTTATTATAACTACTTTTATTCAGAACTCGTTAATTTTTATATCAATGCAGTGTAATGTTTTTTCTCAGAATCCCCTCCCGTAATTAGGACTTAAATCTGGCTATTAGATAAGTACTATCCACATATGTTAGTAGTTACCACATCCGACATCGGTTGATCGGACGTTGGATATGATATCCTTTAGACAATTTGTTTATTATAAGTTAAGGCCATTTCTTAAATACCAGATAACTTTAGTCTTATATTAAAATTGCATACATTTTTTTATTAACAACATTATTGTCCATAACACTTACCAGAACAAGCAGAAGCTGAAGGTGGAGAGGCTACTGGAGAAGATGGGTAAGACCAAAGTACAAATACATAATAATATACTTTCTTTTGTATTTCTTTGCGAATAAATTACAATATCCAAATCCGTTATAATTTTAGAAGTAAGACACTCGAAAAAGAACGCTTCGCTGTAGAGCGTTATGCTGTAATTAAGTTTGTCGAAATGCCAGAATCTATGGAGGAGATGATTATTCAGTTAGCTAATGAAGCTTTGGACAATTTTCATTTGGAACATGAAATAGCAGCCGCTATGCGCTTTGAATTGGATGACCGCTACGGCAAAGCCTGGCATGTCATTGTTGGAACCAAATTTGGAGCTTATTGTACACATGAATCTAATCGCGTTATATATTTTTACCTCGGTCAAATGGCATTTTTTATCTTTAAAATGGAATAAATCACATATTATTATTTATTTCTATTTTAGAAAATTTTAAATTATAAAATATATAAAAATTATTGTTAAATTCAAGTCAATAACTGATTGTTACTAATAAATTATAAATAATTTTGAAAGTATGTATATTTTAATAGATGTGGGAACATAATAAAAACTATTCAAATATTCAAGATGTCGCACTTTATCCTTGACGGATGAAAAGTTTTGGCATACTAAGTACGAAGACATGTACTGAAATGTAAACGAATGATACCTATATAGAACTGAACGAATATATATGTTCAAGCATTGGTATAAATCGTGTCTAATGATGTTGACTTTGTTCTGCTGAAAATAAGAACAAGTATCGAACAGGTTATTGCTTTAGTATATATATCAGTAAGATATAACAGATATCTCAATTTCTATCTCTGTTAAGAAGATATCTCTTCTTCATAAATGAAAAGTCTACGTATAAAACCAAATATCAAATGGGACGAAAAAGTATCAGTGGAAACTTGGAAAAACGTATTATACAAACTTCCAGAAGATTGTATTAATATATGCAGTATCTCACTGATTCTCTATTTATTATCTCACTGATTTACTACGGAATCAAAAGATTAATGAGCTAAATGAATAGCAACTGGTAAAAGCCATTCAAAGTGATCAAAATAGCAAAAAAGTGATCAAAATAGCACTTGGCATAGTATTCATCGAAAACCTTGACAAAGGATAAACTATCAATAACGCATATTATGTACAGCTATTGATGCGTTCGAAGGACAAACTCGCCAGAATATTAACCTAAATGAAAAAGAAAATAGTACTCTTTTGTCTAAGCAATGTACCATATTACAGGTCGTTAGTTATAATAGCGAAATGGCAGGAGTCACACTTTAAGTGGCTTCTGCATGCACTTTTTAGCTCCCATCAACTATGATCTGTTTCCAGACCTTAAAAAAAAAAGCTCTAAGGAAAATGATATATGTTCAATGAAAAAGTCATAGACAAAAGAAACGCTTTGACCTCAAACCAAAGATAAGCCTTTTTACAAGAGACGTATCGATATGTTAGAGAATCGCTGGATTGATGTTATTGCTCTTGAAAAAATCTATAATGATAAATAAAGTCGAATATTTCGTTTCAGCTGATGGTTACTTACATATTTGTAACAATATTTTGTTACATAGGACAGTTACAAGTTAACTATACTAAAAAATACTTATTTTAAGTAACTATACTTATGTATAATTGAGTTAAAAGGAATATAAAAGTTCATGCCCAATGAACATGTAATTAAGAGATTATATGGTCTTGGTAAAAGAAGGATGCCCCTTCATATATCATAAATATGACAGAGAAATAGTAGTTAAACAAATAATAAATAAAAACGTAAGTCTTTTCTTTGATATATGGTGGGGTCTTTAATCTAAGAATGTCATGCCTTTAACATAACTGCAAGGTCAAGTATTAGAAATACTTTATGTCTTATGCTCGTATTTTATTAAGAATTTTCTCAATGAAGCCTTCCATAGTATATAATAAATGAATGCTACATATTTTTCAAGTCTATTACTTTCACAATTCAGAAGATTCATATCTTCAATAAAATTAACTACAAAGTACTTTACATATCAAGTAACATATACATAGGAATTCAAACTAATTTGTTAGTTTTAATAGTTGTAATTACTATTAAATATTAAGTATTTCAATTATTTTCATTGAGTTCGAATACTTCATTTGCTGTTCATCTGACACAAAGCCCAATTCGGAGCACTTCATTGCAATCGATATTTTTGGAATAATTCCATTCATGCCCAGGCCAACTTATTTGTATTCAGGCTAATTATTGGTAAAACCTCACACAACATATGCTGGCTTTATTAAAATTCTAATGAAATTATTTATGTATTGAGTCGATAATTATTTAATCACCACCAATTTTCATATTTGCATAATTAGTTAATTAGCGAAAATATCATAGGAATAAAAAAAAACCAAAAAAAACATTTAAGTAACACAACGAAATATTTAAATTCGTATTTTATTTATTTTAATTTAAGCAAATTCTATTCACATCCATTGTGTATTATTAATTTATTCACGAGTGAAAATATAAATGGAAAAATGCTAAAAATTATTTCGACAGATAGTAACTGCAAATATAAAAAAATTTTTAATTGCTGTTTAATTTTTTTATTGATTTAATTGAGTGCACTTAATACAGTCAGCAGATCAAATCAAATCATATTAAAAAAGCGAAAAGCACTTCTTCAAGGATCCACTTTAAAACATGAAAAAAATATGAGTATATGATATGGAATATTGTGTGGAATTGCGCAGAGGATTATGTCGGTACATACGAGTATAAGAAGAACTTTCTTATCCAAAACTCTAATTAACATTGTGCATAAATGAGATTATATACAGACCTCAATTTTCTCCTTATGCGTTCGTGACATTGTTAATCTAAATCATAGCCTTCAAAAATATTTCAAGAAAATAATCTCAACCCCTTTAAACTGCACACACTCTGCTGCTAATTTGAACCATCACGGGAAGAAATTTCATAACCAGGAAGTGACTCAATCGATAATAAAATGGTTTCGGATCGAAGTCCCGAGTCATTCACATATTTATTACAATAAATAAATATAATATATAATACATATATATACGTATATAATACATATAGTTATTAATACATATATTACAATATAGAATAGAAACGCAAACGTTTGTACTGTCATACCATGACACCCAAGCACCATTTACTATGTCTAACTGGCTATATATATATTCGCTATATATAGCATTTGAAAACAAAATGATCCGATGATGCCTACAACTTAAAATTCGGCTGAAACATTAACACTTTGTGGGTGCATTTATTTTTTAATAAGCACTCAAGGGTTTCTGAATACAAATGGAGCAATTTTGAAAAACAATGAAATCATTTAGATAAAAGTTACTCTCATTGCAGAAAACTATTTTGCTCAAGAAATTGGAATCTATTTTTTATAACTCCATTATCCATTTATTAAACTATGCGTGATCACTAGGCTTTAGTTGCTAAGTCAATTCAACTATAGTAAAAGACAGCTTTTCTTGCCAAGTTATTGTAGAAAAATTTTCGAGACATTTTCGAGATCTTTCTCAATAACATTTCTACAAACGTTGGTACAATTTTGTCTTGAATTAGATATTGTAGGACTCAGACTGTATGAGATCATTAACTAATCTTAACAAAACATTATTAATTTTAGGTGGTAAAGTTAGCTAGGTAACCTAGGGATCTACTGTGCCAGCCCCACAACCAAACTTTGCATATTGGATTTCCTCGATAAATAGTAATATTGAACCAACTTTATCGATTCTGATTTCTTCATCCGATAAAATATGCCTATTTTATTTGATTAAATAAATCAACACCGAGCAAACTGCCAACATATTTTTTGCAATCTATGTCCTTTAATTTAGCACAGTAAATAGATAAACTTACTCCTATAATAGATGCTAATGCGTTTGAAATATTTATAGAACCAGTGGCATCGGCTGTAGATATATATATATTGTATATACATTCTTCTATATTTATGATGTTAGAGAATGAAACACTATTGATCTTAAAATATTTGTTTGGTAAAAACATATTAATTATTTAACAAAAAATAAGATAATTTTTCTGGAAATAACTAAATAGATTAGAGTATTGCCTCCGATTAGAAAATAACAAGTATTGAACGAGTAACTTGAGGGAACATCCAATTAACATATGACATCTGTTATGAAAGTCTTTCAAATAGGTTTGTGTTAGTATCTTTGGTGATATGAATTACTTTAAACAACAAGTGTAACAATCATCTTCGTCTGACCCCATTAACGTTACCGAGAACTACCATAAAAAGCCGCAAACGTGGCTGATATTTACTTGCAATATCGTTGACTTCAGAGACTGCGGTCTGTAACGTTATGAGGAGTTGAAAAAAATTTTAAATTTAAAAAAAAAAAAAAAAAAACAAAAAGAAAAAAATAAGTAAACACTCATTTTACAAGTGTACACAGTAAAGAAATTAGTAATTTTTAATTTGAATTTTTTTTTTTTCGTTTTGTGCACTGCAACAAAAATGTGGGAGGTAAACTGAAAGTCGCTATCCGAAATTTGGCCAAGTTTATTTGTCAGCCGGGCGGACTTGTGAGGTCAGCAAGAAATTTCAACATAAAAAAAAAATTCCAAAAAATTCGTGCACTTGGCATTAAAATTTGTTTATTTTGTTTAAGTGGATTAGACGGTGTTAACGTGGTCGGATGGCTGATTTTTGACATATTGTTGACGGTTCCTCAAAATTGCTATGCTTTTAAAGAAAAACTTGTGGCACTTTAATTTACTTCATTATAACAAACCTAAATAGAAAAAAATTTTTCATCTAATTTTTTTACACATTTACTCTGAAAAATATGTTGTAAGTTACAATGCCTATAACTACAACAAATTAAATAATATTAATTGAAAATAATAATAAACAGACGCTAAACTAAGGTGTATCTTAGGTGTATCTTCAGTATAGTCACATCTCTCTTTCGCACTACATGCATAGCCCCTAAATCTTTATTAACTTGACTATGTCAATGTCATGTCACAGCTCATACCAGCAGTGGTTCTACCGAAAATACTATTTAACATAAACATAGACATGATGAAAAACTTTCCTCTTGTAAACATAAAAGAATCACTCATCGTTGCTTCTCAACATCCTCCATAAAATAGGTCGCTTAAAACTAATGATTAGTAGAGAGTTTTTATTTGCCGAGTGAGTAAACAAGTTTTCAAACGCTAGTGGAAGCATCCCGGAAAACTTCTTCATTTCTTCTACTTCAATCTGACCTGATCTAATGTTATTATTAATATTTATGATAGCTCCTAATAAGACAAAGCACTTTACCACTTTAAAAGTGTAGTTCTGGATATAGTTCATAGTTTCTTAAAGTGATTACAAGCCACTTAAACTCAACACAACAGTGGTCTTCATACACACATCAGTATAATGCAACAATAAACGCTCCCATTGGAATTTCAAATAATTCTGCCGGTACAAATTTAAGCTATGCGTTTGGATATAGTTTGTTTTTTGGGAGGAAAAAATGCACGTCTAACACCTCAGCTGTTCTTTGAGACACGGCACTTGGTTGCAAAATACAATTCCACATTAAATGAATATAATGAATATAGTCACTCAACCCCAATAATTTGGGGGCTACCACGATACTCCCATTAAAAACAGAATCTTGTAATCTTAATTGATCAGGATAGACTAAACTGTAAGGCCTAGCTTCCGTAGTATCAACTCCAGTGGGTGCCGCAAATGAAACACTATTCACACTCCAAAAAGAATCGAGTGGTGCTCACTGGATTTTAGTCACGTCTTACAACAAGCTTGCCATACCTCAGGAATATTCTTACATAAGTAACTGCAATCTGAGGTATTACTTAAATTAGTTGGGGTCTTGTAACAGTAATGTTGGTAACATTATTATTTTATAATTAATTTTTTTTTTAAATTTTTGTGAAATATACAAAATTACATAAAATTAAATGGAATTTTTTTAAAACATTTTTAATAAAAAGAGGTGAACATTTTAAATTCAAGAATTATATTTTATTAAAATATCTAATAAATTAAATATTTATTGTTTAAAAATATTTATTTTATTATTAATAAAGAGGCTTCGAACAGTAGTGAATTACAGCAACAAAAATTTTTTTTAATTTTAATAATTGAATTTTTTATTTCGTATTAATATTTTTTTATGGGGGTGCAGATAAAGTCAAAATTTTACCAGCCATTTTATTTATTATAATTAAAAAAATTATTTACGAAAATATTTTAACAAATTTTGTATGTATTGACAGAGAAGATGTATATTTAATACTTGAGAACTCTTTCTCTCTATCTCTTTTACTTGAATACATGATTTTAAATTGTATTGCAAGTATTGTAAAGAAGCTATAGATGCATAATAAATCATAAATATAATATTCTTTAGACTCCTGTCTACTTAAATAATTATATTATTTTTTTATCTCTAAATATTTACTTTTAAATACCCTCTGACGCTATTTTTAAATACTTTCAGTGAGACCTCATGAGATTAATTTTTTGTCAAATTTACTTTTCTTTTTTTTTTGTATTTTTAAATCTAATTAAACCATTTAGAATTCTTGAAATATGAAACCAAAAATTAATTTAATTCAGAACAAAGCAGACGCATTTGCCGAAGAATCCTGCAATTAAATTTGTCTCACCTGGCAATAACACCCGCCCAAGAAAACGGAATGATGCACAATTCCCATAGGCGTGAATTGTTCAGAAGATGAGATAACGTTCTCATGTCTCCTTCATTTTTAATTTCTTCAAACAGCTTTTTCATTTCATTTTCATTTTCGTTTCTATTCATTTATTTTTTGCCATGTGAATGGCTTATTTTTTGTTTCTTGCTTTTTTTTATGTTTTTTTTTTGTTTTGTTTTATTTGTTTTGATTGACAAGAAAAGTGAATTAAATGCTCAATAAACGCCAACACCTCTACTTTGATTTTACTTTTATTTGACTTTTTGTGGGTAATTTTTTTGTCACTTTTTGTTAGCTTCATTTTTTTTTTTTTGTTTAATCCAAATAAGAAAGTAAAACTTTTTGTGCAAATATAAAATAAAGGAAATTAATTTATTTTTTAACTCAAATATTAACTTTCAATATGGCAGTGCTTGCCAAATAAGAAAATTAAATTAATTTAATGTAGTTTAAAAAATATACGCTATTTCGGCAAAATATACATAAATTAATATATCAAATTATAATCTTTATATTTTTGTATTTAATCTAAATTTAATCTAAATAATATTTAGATATAATACGTTTATTTAAATATATTATAAAAAGCAACAACAACAACAACAAAATTCTCAATAGATTGGGCAAAAAATATTCGGCGTAGTTAATTTAATATCTGTATTTAAGACGCAGTATATGTATATTAAACAACGAATTAAATCTCATATAATAATTATTCTTTCTTTTTAATTTAGCTATTTTATTAATTATAAATACTTAAAAAAATTAACTAACAGTTACAACAATAGTTGTTTTGTTACTAATACATTTGTTATTATTTCTCTCTCATCGTCATATCACAATATCGTCTTATTTGACCCAATACGTCATAATTTTCTGTTTTGCGTTTTCATATTTTTTAGCAATTGCTATTTTATGTTCCTTAGCATATTACTTACTTACTTCAATTGAATCAGTGTAAAAATATATGTATGGGATGTTTATTTCAATATGAAAGTATTAAGTTCATTTAGAAGTCCCCGGTTATTATGAATTTTGTGAATTGTATTATTATGTGCACTATTTCTGACTTTGTAATATTTTTAACTGGACTCTTTATAGGATTTCAGCGTTAGATATTGCTGCTAAGGCCTATATCTGCATTCCATGTGTAAAAGCCGATTTTAAAATAGGCAAATACACTTACAATTTACTTTCAAATGAAAAAAATTTAAACCCAGAGGCGTATAGTTTGATAGTATTTGCAATATCCATATTGTTATATATAACATGTATGATATTGATCTAAACAGTAACCTCACTTTTTTAACTTATGATATATTAATCGTGTTGGTAATGAATATAATCTAAATTGATTTCGAATAAGTAAATTATATTAAGTCGTATTTACGATTTTAAAGCTACTTTTAAAACTAAAATGGTTTTGTTCATAACAGGAGTTCCAAGAAAGATTCTAATGGTACCAATAATAATTATTGTGTTATTATTATATTATCACTCAAATAATTGAGTGAGCCTGATCCCGGTTGCAAAAATAGAAAGAGGAAGCATGGGTAATTTTATTCCGGTGTACTAACTAATAAGAAACATAAAAATATTACGATGTATTAAACTATTTAAGTCAAAAACTATATTGAAACTATATTGAAGCACATATTTTCAAACTTCGAAAAATAATAGATATACTATATAATACATAATATATAGTACATAATATATACTATATCCAGCACTACTGTAGGGATGTGTTACATACAGCAAAGCCTCAAATACTGGCTATTAGAAGACTATTTAAGATTTCATCGTATATTAGAACAACATACATATACAGAGGTCTAAGGATCGACGCAGTGAAAAAATATATCAAGGACAGAGCCCTAAAATTATTCACAAAAGTTGATACGTTGCCCAACCCCGCCCTAACAAACCTTAAGTCCACCTCAGGATCCAGAGCAAGATATGCTAACCTACGGTCCGTCATTAGTTAAAAGATAAATAAACAATAATAATTCTAGTTTAGTTAAAGCTTAGTGTGGGGTAGGGATAAGCCCCCCAGACACAAAAGAGTAAAAGTGCGCAATAGCACTAATTCTAATCACAACAACAACAATATATAGTATATAGCATATAATCACATATTCTGAGAAATTTATTTAAAAATTGGAGAAAATTGTAAATGTTAAGCAAAAATTGATGAATCAAATCCTTTTATAATTTTTCTTAAAGAATTTTAAGAATTCATAATATTAAATTCAATTTTCTTTTTGGTATTGTGTATTGTTAGCTTTGGAAGGATAAAAATTTTTGCTTAACATTTGACAATCCATATAAATTTCAATTAAGAGCACAATCAACTATTTTCAATAAATATTTCTTTTTAACGAAATTTTTTCCTCTTGCAGATTTTATTTATTATAATAAAAATACGAAAAAATTCAAAAAAAATTCGAAAAAAATTGGTAAAATTCTGCAATTTTCGACACACAACTGGAACAATATATTTAAGTCTCTGTTTTTGCTTTTATTAACGGATAATGCGCTTTTCTCTGCTCAACCAACAACAGAACTTTCAACAAAATAAACAGAAAATGCACATCAAACTTAATCGAACTCAGCATAGAAATATCGCCATAGTAATTTGCCTTTTAGTAGCTGGAATCACTAAAACAAATGCAGGTAAGTGTTTAAGCTCGAGCAAATGTTTATTTATTACTTAATATCAAAATAAATAAAATATTCAATCCAATGAGAATGTATGCAAAATACAATTAAATAATAAGCTTTAATAAAAGTACTGAGGGTATTTGAAAAGTTTCACTCACGAACACGAAGCACAGATACTTCATCGCGAAAATATATTTTTTTTTATATTATTAATACTTCCTCATTAATTAATATTGTTAAGAGTTGTGACACTGAGACCTTCGGGTCTATTGTGCCCTCTTCTGTGTTTAGAATAGGTCGCTAAATCCTGTTGCGTCAATAAAAAGTAGTATGGAACCTACTTTATAGAGTTTTATTGTCTCTTCCGTAAGAATATACATTTACAGGCGCGCAGGGAATTTTAGCAGCACATGTATGGCCAACTCCTTATTCTCTTCATAGAATCTACAATTTCCATCCGTATGTATACCTAGTTGTGTAAAGTGATATTTTAGTGTACGTTACCCTGTTAGGATAAGTTTTATTTTTAATAGGTTCATACAATCCTGGTATCTTTTATTGTTATAGGTAACAATAAGTGATTTGGATTGTGTGAATCCTAGTATATTATCCCAGTAATTAATAATTCTTTAAGTCAATTGAAAAAAAATAGTTGTCATCACAAGAATTGTCATAAATATTTCCGTTTGGAATGTCACTTTATGTGTACCCACAAACGAATCATATACAAGTAATATTCTCATTCTGGAAAATAAATAATCATATAATCAACAGCTAGTCTCACAAAAGATTTCGACAGATCAATAAATGATTGTAGTTCACAAGGTACCTTAATGAAATCTGAAGCCCACTTATTATGTGCAACTGTACTATATACAGTCACATTTGGAAATAAATAAAATTTATATTTTATTCCGATAATTTGAACACATGCATTGATTAACAATGCCCCTTATTCTGACTCCTAGTGACTATCGAGTTTTATTTTGATCCGCCGAATCCATCGAAAAAGGAATACTTTAAAGTCTGATGTACTGTTTGCAGTACTTTAAAAAATTTTTCCTTATGATGATAAAAGTGTACAGAGACAAAATTGGAATAATATCGATAAATTCACAACAAAAAACCATTTTGAAAATTGAATTTTTCATAAATATTTTCTCACCAAATTTTTCGAATATCCCTCGTACATACACAAGAATATAAAAAAGTTTAAATTAAATTTTTTCAAAAATAATAAAATTAAAATAATCACTTCTGAAACAACACATAACGCGATTTAAAAGCATATTTAAAATAAATACAATTTTTTATCATATTTTTCTTTAATCTGAATGTATGCCCGAATCTGAATGCATAATCCTAATTAGCAAACTGTTTTAATCTCTAGTGCATTCGAGCTAAAAATAAAAATACGGGGTGTTCCCACTAAAATAATAATTTAGAAAACAACATTTGGAGCCACCAACCTCAAACGGTTATATATTTCAAAGTGGCGGCAATACTTCCCTTTTATTTGGCATATAGACAACGATAGACAGTGATAATTCTTCTTGATAGTTGTTCATACTGTTGTAGAATCTATTTTCAGCCTATATTCCATCTTGAATATTCATTATCGTTGTGTTTTTCGACTTGAAAGTAACTGTTAAACATAATACCGTCAAACTTTCATAAATTGAAGTACCACTTTGCAAAGAAAAGGTTGTATTTAAGGATACATCGAGTTAAAGAATTTTTTTTATAATCGTATGTAATGTGCTCTCTAAACCCTATTGCACTCTATTTATTTCGAGTTATAAAAAATCTGAGTTATAGAAGTTCGAGTTATGGAACTTATGGAGTTATAATTATTAACGCCTTCGAATTCATGTATTCCAATTTTTATCATAACAGTTACTACTTTAACCGAAGATATGATCATCTATTTTGTTTTGCTACAATTTAGACTTGAGCCCGTTGGATCCACCACTACCTTTTATAAACAGCAAATCTCTTCGACTACTAAGTATAGTGCAAAAGTGTCTTTTAACTAATAAAATCTTCTTAATTTCTTCTTCTTTACCTAAAATTGTGTTCTCGTTTTGCATTTTCATTTCAATCTCCTTCTCTGCAAAAAATTATTTTTCTTATAATTATGTGACAATTTACCACAAGTCTAGACACACACAACCGCACTAAATTCTTTCCGAACATAACTAGTTGCAAATATCATTTTTCTAGTAATAAAAGGAATATAAAAAAAGCTGCTCAGCAATTTTGCTTGACACAAGTTGACAGTGTCAATAATGTCACAAGTCTTTTTCATTATTAATTTTAAAGCACAAAATTGCACATTTGCGCCAACACAGCAAGGTTTCTCTGGATGTAACCTATTCTGTCAGCCTGTTTAGCTCTATAGTCCCACACCTCACAGTCTCACCCAGCAAATATTGCAACAATTAAAAGGACATCAATTAGAGCAGTTAACAGCTGTCATTTGTTTCGAGCTCGTATTACGTTTCCTTGATGGAATTGCACTAAAGCAACACACGCCGCAGCATCCACAGCATCCACAACTCCTTTGGTTCCTTTCTATTAGCAATTATTTTATCAAATGATTTGCCGCAAATTTTTTTCACATTTTTATATTTTTTAATATTTCATATATACATTTTGCAAAGAGAAATTCTCTTTTTCGGTATGTCATTTTATTTTTATTTTATTTATTTTATTCTTTTTCTGCTTAGAAATTTTTTTATTCCATGAAATTTTTTCAGATTGAAGGCATTTTTATCATTTTATTTACTTGCTCGCTTGCTTTCAGTTGACAATTAATCAAAAATGACAGCGGGTTTTGATTATTTTTATAATTGTTTTTCATTTTTTCATTTATGTCATTTTTTCACATTTTTCCCTTTTAAAATTTTCTTTCTCTGCATTTTCCATGAGTGTTTGTTATACACGTTAGAATTAGCTTAAATGATTTTTCCGGAAAAATTTGGAAGCAAGATGAAAATTACCAAAATTTATGAAGAGATTAAAGTCAAAGTTGTGATTTATATGATTGGCATGTGTTATTCTCTTTCAGAAACCGATTTGATAAAAAATTAAATCCATAATATATAAACTTTTTCAGAATATCAACATAATATATATGTAGTGATATTAAATGTGAGTTTGAAGTCCGCATCAAGACCTCACCATAGAGTTTCTTAAAGTTTCAAGTTTTATACGACCACTTAATGGGTCAATGGGTTTATCAAGGGATCGTAAAATTAAAAAAATAAAAAACAACTAATAACACTTATCATTCGTATTTTAATATAAAACTCAAATAATAATTAATTTTGCTTTATATCACATTTTTCAAAAATAATTATTATTATGTGCGTTTTACTTTTTCACGCACAAATAACTCATACACTCTTGCCTTTATTTCAAAATACACAAAAATAATTATTATTTTTTCTTTTAAATATAGTTCTTAGAATGATAACTATATACTTTAAAAAGTATTTATATAATTTTTTCTTGCTGCTTTTTTTCTTAAAATTTTTTAAAATAATTATTATTTTCGGTTCCTGGGTTTAAGTGATTTTTTTTTTTATTCATAACATATGTCTTAATTACGTGGTATCTTAAATTAAATAAAATAGAATGGAATAATAGTTAACAAGATTTTGTGGTTAATATAAAGCAAAGCATTGCAACTAACTACTTGCCACTGACATTAATCCATTTCGACCACCGTGTGATGCACCACATGGCTGGCTTTGAATGTTTTTTAATATGTTTTAAAATGTTTTTATTTTAGTTAATGATGAAGTAATTTTTTAAATAAATATTAAACTTTTCTCGTTTATTTTAACTTGTTTTATTTTACTTTCTACTATCAATATTTCACCGTAAAATTTTAAGTCTGAAATTGCAAAATAAGTATGACATTTTATCTCGTCAGACATATCGTCATCATCAATCCCTAAATCTCCAATTGAAGCATATTCCCTGTATCCTGTATACTGTATCCCTTTATTTCCAATTGAACATATTATTATATTATTATATATAATGTACATATTCATATTACACGAGTACACTACAATATACCATATACTATACAGTACACTTTACTACGTTCGGGTTTTGTTATGAATATAATTAAATACATATTTCTTGGAGATGAAAATCCCATCCAACACTAGTCTCAATTTTAAAACTAACGTCAATAAGTGAGCCCCGATTTACATAAATATTATACATCAATAAATAGGTGAAGGTTTAATTTAATTTGGTATTAAGTTTTGAAAAAATTTATTTTCTCTCTAAAAGAGAGGTCTCTCTCTGATCTTCAAATTTTGCCTATACCTCTATTCGTTAAAAAACAGCATATCACATGACAAAAGCAATAATAAAAGATTAGATTAATAGAAAACGAAATAGGAGGATACACAACGCTATTCAAGTGCATTGCAGTACATATATATTTATATATATACATGTATGTATACTTATACATACATATCTACATTTACATATATATATATATACATATATATACATATATATGTCTATATACCTATCTCTATAAATCTCTATATATGTAAATGTAGATATGTATTTATAAGTATACATATGTATATATATAAATATAAATATATAAATATATATTATATATATATATATAAATGTATATATGTATGTATAAGTATATATATGTGTATATTAATGTTTTTGTCCATCTTGACGTATTTAATATATTTATGATGACTTAAATCTGAAATCAAATAAAGTCGAAATATTAAGTCAAAAAAATTAAATTTAAATTAAAATTATTGGGAAATAATTCAAATTGTTTTTTTTTAACTTTTATTTTTAACTATAATAAAAGCATTGATCAATTAGCCTGTGACAATATTATATTATAAAATCCTAGCGTCATAGTTTTTAATTAAATAAACTATATTATTTATACTATAAAATGAAAATCGAAGTATCGTAACTATTATAAAGTGAGTTAAACTTTTTTTTTT